TTTACATGACTTTGAGACAGTAATGATATATACCTCATACTATGGTATTTTTGGATCGGGTACAGAACGTTTATTTTTTTCTCAATTTCTAATTTCTGAATAAATATCTACTATTAAAGATATTCACAGGACTATATCGTTAATTTGAATTTAATAACACAATGTTCAAAAATAACTCCAATGTTGCCTTCAGCTGTCAGGCCACACTCGCTCATGATTCCAGTACTAGTTGGGTGAAGGGGCTTGTAAGCTGGACTAAGCAACCTTCTGTATAACTATAGCAGTATATATCTGTGTATTTCGGCAGGACAGTGATACTAAGAAAGGAATCCACATACGGTCTTGTATGACAATAAACAGGGCTTCTAGGGACCGAATGTAAATGAGGTTTGACACAACAAATTTATTGTGCAAATATCTGCAGTCAGCAGTTTGTTGTAGGTTTGGCAACAACGGGTGAGGACTTAATACAGGCGTGTTTCCCCAGGGGCCCAAACATCTACGTGTGATGTCGGAGTACATTACTACAAGACAACTTCAGAGAAAGGATGGTGGTCACTTTACCCCTCAGTGGACACTCATACCATTAACACCAAGCACAATCTAAAACCCGATCGTGATTTCCATTAGAGGCATGTAAAACAGTAGGTTCTATACTCATATCACCCAAGGGGAAGACATGACTCTGGTAGTGGAATGAGATAGTATACACAGACTAGGTTGGTTTCAGTAAATGCTTGAGGAATTAAGTATTCTTTCCCTGGAGTCAAACATTTCACGGGGATTTTATGTTTGCCCTGTCAGCAATATTATATTTTTGTAACAAATTTGGACGAACTTCGTTTTAGATGGTCGGTACCTTGAACCTTGTCCTTATTTATAATACACTGTCACCTGACTTCTATCTGTGATTGTCATGATGATTAAGACTATTAGCAAAACCAGAAGAAACTATCCTGAAAGCAACATTTGTGTCCTGAAGCAACATCTGTATTCGGAAGGCAACATCTGTATTCGGAAGGTATCATCTGTATTCGGAAGGTATCATCTGTATTCGGAAGGCAACATCTGTATTCGGAAGGCAACATCTGTATTCGGAAGGTATCATCTGTATTCGGTAGGTATCATCTGTATTCGGAAGACAACATCTGTATTCGGAAGGCAACATCTGCATTCGGAAGGCAACATCTGTATTCGGAAGGTATCATCTGTATTTGGAAGGTATCATCTGTATTCGGTAGGTATCATCTGTATTCGGAAGGCAACATCTGTATTCGGAAGGTATCATCTGTATTCGGAAGGTAACATCTGTATTCGGAAGGTATCATCTGTATTCGGAAGGTATCATCTGTATTCGGAAGGCAACATCTGTATTTGGAAGGTATCATCTGTATTCGGAAGGTAACATCTGTATTCGGAAGGTATCATCTGTATTCGGAAGGTAACATCTGTATTCGGAAGGTATCATCTGTATCTGGAGGGCAACACCTATGCCTGATGTTAGAGTTCAAAATCCAAATGGCTGTAAACGTCAGTGGTAGTTGGGTATCTATGCACACCTTCATGCGTCTGTGACAAAAGTGATCAGAAATTGAACTCAATTCATGCGAGTAAGAATCATCCCTTGTCACAGTGATCTTGTACCAAGTGAACATGTTCTCCATGGTACTTTCTGCAGTGCGGTATCTTCGAGATCGACGTTACACGTGGCAAGTATTCAGGTGATCCTCAATCGTACACCTGATCCGTTTGTACTATATAGTAGTTATGTAGATCACTTCCAAGTCGACATCTAACTGCCCCATGACCTGACAATCACTGAAATAACCAAATATAGTCACTGACTCAAGACGCCATGGTTACCGTCGGAAGAAGGACCCCAAATACGTCCAAATGATCATCTCCCAACAGTGTCTCCTTTGTGGGTACATCACTACAACAGATCTGCCAGACAACAAGACCATCTTGGGTGTTTTAACTTTGAAGCTTGTCAATTCCAGGTCGGTCTGATGAAACGCATCCAATCTTGATCACGTGGTTTAAGCAGCCTGAAATAAAAACTGCGACCACATTAGTCGAGTTTTCCCATGCAGAAAGTCCTGTTCCTTTGAAAACCAGCATACTCTTCCTCCAAGTGTTACATCATACAGCTTTCTCATTTCAGCTCGGCACTCGGTCGACTATTCAAGTATGAATCGTCCAAATGTTGCGAGCACTCATTAGTTAACTTCTGCTTCAAATTACCGGATTAGAATTTAAGACATTTGTCCCAAAAAGCACCGTCATTGATTCGGCGTTTGAATGAGGTCCTCTGAACTGTTCAGTCGAAACGGAAGTTCCTAGCCGTAATTTGCATACCGTGCAAATAAAGGCCTGGGGTCATTATTGACCGGAAAATAAGGTCCCCGTTGAATGATTGTGACTCTAATGGAGGCTTGTGGCTTCTTTCGTTTGTGCGTTGAAGGACCTGATTCAGCCATGCGATTGTGTGGGATAGTTAAATCCTAGGTCACACATATCTGAGAGCCAAATGATGTAAATTTGTTAGTTTTTTTCTTTCCCTTGAGGGGCAAGGTTATCACAATGTTTAATTGGTGGGCCGTGTTATGGAGCCCAGTGTGGCCAAGAGCAAAGGGTTATTGATTCACCGGACAAATGCAAAGCTGGTTATGGGAAATAGCCATCAGATTGTGATTTTTCAAAATGTACGTTTACTAAAGCATTACCAGAATTTCATTTCAAACAAGACTTTTTACTCAGTTAAATAAGGTGTGTCGATGAAGTCGAGTCGTCACTCAAGTCGGCTGAGAGTTCATTGACTGAGTCAACACAGAGGTACTGCGACCAACAGGCAACAGTAATTCCATTACGAACTGAAGCATAAGGTCACCAAAAGAAAAGCCTAATCCTTTAGATTCCTGTCATCAAAGCTACACATTTATTGAAAGAGTGTGATGTAACTTCAGTGACTAGTGTCAATAAATCATTTTTATCTTTCATTCAGTTCCAATCTTCAGAGCTAAAGTTTAGATATACTTATTGATTATGATAAATTTTAAGTCAGAAAGCTTTTGATAGTATATTAAGACATTGAAGCAAATACTTTACATATCGTGTTCAACCACGCTTATGTTTGCAGGTGCTCCCAATATCATTGCTGTATCTCACGAGTAATGGTCATGAAGCTATTGCTACTTTAGTACTGGAAGTTGATGGTTCATCAGTTGATTAGTGACTATAAGGCAGTAAACACATCAATCTGTAGTAGCTCTCTATTATAGACTTCCTAATATATTCACACAAACAGCCTGGAGCAAGTAAAGAAGAATGACATCAATCAAAGAAGATTTGATATACAGTGGAGTTATTTCAGTGGGGAATTGTTAAAGCCAAGTGGTTAAAATGTTCGCTCGTCACAACGGACACCGGGTTGTATTCCCTTGATGGGTCGTATGTCTGATGCCTATTTATGGTGTTTGTTGTCGCGATATGGTTGATATATTGCCCTGAATGGCGTAAAATCATACTCATCCATATATATACGTTTCGGATGGGTTGTGTGACAGCTGTTATCTGACTACAACTATATATCGGTCCAGTATACTTCGAATATAAGGGGTGGTGGGGTAGCCTAGTGGTTAAAGTGTTCGCTCGTCACGCTGAAGACCCGGGTTCGATTCCCAACATGGGTACAATGTGTGAAGCGCATTTCTTGTGTCCCTCGCCGTGATATTGCTGGAATATTGCTAAATGCGGCGTAAAACCATACTCACTCGAATGTAACTAACTCCCAGGAAACATAAATTCTAGTAATATTCGAGAACATGATTATCATTCACAATGTGATGTCCTCACAGTGGAGTATCGTAAGACTGAAGTGGTCTGTATTATTTAGAGCTTCTGTCATGTCCTTTAAACTGATGCTAAATATAAATGGATCCATTTAGCATCAAGGATAATATCACATTGACACTGAAACCGTTGCTCCGCCTTAAGGGGGCACTTATCTGGGGAAAATGTCTGAAACAAAAATCGGAGCAATTCACATAATTACATCGAACCAGGAAGGCCGTGTCATCTTCTTGTTTTGCTGATACCCCTGCAGAGGGTATTGTCCGTGTCGGCATGTCACCTATGGCCTCATAAGACAACAAGTCAGCATCATACTGCTTCATTGTCTTTCAGTAAGGATTCGATGTAATCTCATTTTGGATACAAGCTCAGCTGTATTTTAACGTTTATGTACAGGCTGTCCTTAGAGCATCACTTCGACATTGGTTAGCTTAGTTTTATGATTCTGATATGGGTCGGCTATAATTAAGTTTCAGTTAAATATTGACAGTTTCAGTTAAATATTTAACATATAAGTTGGCTTTAGTTATTTTCATTCTGATGAACTTTAGTTACAAGTTTACATATAGATCAGCATTAGTTACCTAGTTCCATACAGATCAGCTTTAAATATTATTTTCATGTATGACAATGTTTGTCAAGGTGTGTATCACGCCCGACGTCATCGGGAAAGTGCTCATGTTATCGACCATTGGTTTGATTGGTGTGGACTTGACCAGAGGCCATATTGCTGACTGGGCGTATAACACCAGCAAACAGCTTATTTGTCCATCCTATGCTGCTGATAAGTGCAGCCAATTCAACCATGCATTTCATGTAGACTCGACCAAAGTGGTCGGGTTCTAAGATTTGGCTGATTGTGCGCCATCTTGTTCCGTCAGAGTCAACCGTTACATAAACATTTTAGTCACCGTAGTGGTGGTCTCGACGTTATGCAGCTGCGGCGTTCATCTTCATTCACTCGATCTCCTCAGTCGATGTAGTCGTTGTCATGGCTGACAACTTTCAGTGCGTGTCAAACCACCGTTAAACTTGAAGACAAGAAAGTCGGTTTTAAATTCGTAGCATTTATCAGTTCATATTGCAAACAGATTATTGACAACATTTTAATTGAAAAAATATATAAAAACGTACCTGATATCGACGAACAAGACACAAGTTCAGAACGCTAAATTTAAAGATTTACAGATTTTTACAATTCTCACTTTTGAAACTTAATCGCGATAACGAGGCTCCGGCAAAAATCATTTCCATCACAGACAACGGATTCCTCAACACGTGGACAGTTTTACAGGCATTGTCATCCCGAACGCTGAAACTTTACATTCCGAACTAAACAAGAAATTTCTCTTTATTTGGATGGTGACGGCGGTCTATACTATATTTAACCTAAGTCATCAAGTGAAATTAGTTGCGAAGGAGGCCAGGCAAAGAGATTGAAAACTCCTACCTATGGCGTCTGTTCACAAAAGGACGATTCGCTCTTTTACATCGATTGAGGAATGAACTGTTTGGTGTACTGTGGACAAGCCATTAAGCATGGGACCTGAAGAGGCGCGCTGAGTTTAGCTAGTTGGGTCCTTCAACCCTGCTTACTTCAAGTTGAATGTTGCACGCTTTGACGAGGACGCGCTAATCCTCGCTCGCGTTCCTGGGCACAATTGTTGATTTTTCATTCACCCGATCAGCAATTAATGTCTGATTTATGATGTTTCCTGTTTTATCTTCTAGTGGGAATGATTCTGCTCCATATGGCTGACGGAATACGCGAGTGGTCGTGGAACTAGAAGATCCGACTGACGAATATATCAACTTTTCCCTACGGTTGGAGGATTTCATTCGTGAAAGGAGCAATGCGTTTGTACAGGAGGGATAGTGCTATGCTTAGAACATTCTCCTGAGCTTCTCCGACGGATGGTTAACGGATACTTGTACAAGAGGTAACTCGCTACTGCTAATACAATTTGACTGTTGTATCGAAAACATGTTTATAATAATGTTGTCATAGTTGAATTGCAATTTCATTGAAACAACCCGTGATGGTTCTGTCTTCAGTATGCTAATCTAATGGTTATTTCGCATATGATGTTTCTGTTATGGTATATTTGAGCATTTGGGGACGAATTCTACACAGTGTTGTTTGATTCTTGTGTCCAGGTAATTAACGCAACTCTTTTCGGACTGTCCAGAAGGTATTCACGTCATCGAGTCTAAACATATGGTACACATCTTGTTAAAGAACATGTATAAAAGGAAGGTATTGATTTCCTATTTATCAAATGTGTGATAATATTTGTTTTTGTTCTGCTAAACTTTTGAATCGAGCAGTAGGACCATGAACATATGGTTACCTCGGCCAGAAGTGCAGCACATATACCTTAGACAGAAGACGAAATTATCAGTAAATTTGCATTTCCTTCTGACTGTAACACCACAGAACACTTATTGGTTCTTCAGTGAGGTAAGAAGAATAAAATCTGGATTCAGTATTACGAGACAGTAAAGGTAGTTCCATATGATCATTATCATATTCCTTAAAACCGTTAAATATTTGACGTATTCTTTAGAGCATCCAACACCACCCACGTTTACCATTATACATCATAATATGCAATGGCGATTTCCTCAGCCACTTTGTCCTTTGGGCCAAAGTGAAATCTGTTTAAAGATTGGTTTGCCTTTTGCATACGTTGACGTATCAGTTTGATAAATGCAATTCAGATTGCCAAAACGTTCATCTTTAACTCATATGTATTGTATATCAGTATGTTATTTACTCTGTACATTTAGTCAGAAAGCACCCTGCAGAGCTAGACATGCCTCTACAACAATATCGGAATCAGACCATGCCTCCGTGCATGTGTTAAAGCTACCGACAACGGTGCCAACCTGGGTTCGTGTTAAGTGAACTAAGAACGGTAATGCTTCGTACATCTTGGTTCGTACATCTTGGCACATGCAGTGAGCAGAAAAGCATGTGTGTGACCTGGGCGTATGTTTGTACACTGATCTGTGAAACATACTCTGGATACAATAATACCCTGCGCTATATCAAACAACTACACCGTTCTTTACCTAATACTCCTCGGTTTAACTTGGAGTGTCTAAACTTGGACTCAAAAGAAGATACACACACCAGGAAAATGGCTTAAACCAAAACATTGAAAACAAAATGTTACAAGGCTGAAAACGCCGGAACGCTTGAAACGTAGCTTCAAAAACACAACTTAGATACGAGAATGAAATATATCATCACCGGATAACCATTTCAATTTGGTTTAATTTTTAGCAACAACAGAAAATAAATGCAACGTTTTTTAAAGCGAATATCTCCAGAGGCTATATGGCAGTAAATGGTTGAATAGAACTGTATTAATCAAGTGTAATAGAGCAGTGATATTGTATATTCTCCAATAATAATGAGTTAACAGGGGAACAGCATTTTCCAATACGTCAATGTAATTCATTACGAAGGATGAAGCGAAAAGCACCACTGACACACAAACGTGTTCGTGAGACTAAACTGTCTTCTATCACTTGATTCATGTGTTGGGTCTATAAAGATAGATTAATCACATCAGTAAATGACCGCTATTTCCTGGGGACAATTAGTGACTTCTTTCATCCCACTTATTTTACTATTATCACTAATGGTCTCCGAGGATGGACATGGTACCAGATAAGGCACGATCGTACTTACCGTACGACTCATTATAACAATATATGTGAAAAGATCCCACAGTGGACTTGTATAACTAGGGCACCGTTCCACAAAACGACGTTAGCGCTACGATTGTCGTAAGTCTACGTTAAAGATTGGGATTACGATGGTCTTAACTTTAAGATCGTATTGATGAACCAGTCCCTGTCCGTTTGATAGTTTATAGTAATTTCCAGGGACAGAAACCTGAGATCCGTTGGGATATGAAAATGATAGTGTTGTAGCCTGTGCATGCATGTTTCTACGACATCACCGTATATTTGTACGACCTCTCCGTATGTTTCACGGCGTGCGAAGTTGCGTTATTATCGGGATATTGACGAGTTTTGCCTCTCTGTGATAGTAACACTGGTAGAATGTGTTTGTGTTTCTGTATATAATGGCGTGTTCGTGTGGAACCTGGTCAACAATAACACTGACATCTGGTGTTCATATACACTTAATATTGTGTTGATCGGATTCGTCTTTGAGGAACAACCACCATAGAGACTGGCAGACTGGTTTCTATCGCAGATAGGATATTTGCTCAATCACTGTTTCAAAATACACAATATTGTTTTCGCAATTTCCTCACAACGTGAAGCATTCAAGACGAATTCACCAATCTTTAGCGAATATGGGACATGTCTGTGACCTGCGAATCCCATGTGTGATAATAGTCTTTATTGTTTAAGTAGATACCCAGCTGAGAGTGACAATAACAGTCGCCATATATTCACAATTCGTAAATAATGTATCAAATAATCACCATAAAAGATATTAAATGCAACGAACAATTGAAACCTTGTTTCGAACGCTTTTGATCAGAATCTCCATTCTGAGTTTTATTATGCATTCGGAACATCTCGTAGAAGAAGGGACATATAACTGATGATTTTGTTTGAAATATTGTATAAAAAGAATTCATTAGAAGCCAGGACTGCTTCCAGTCAAATATTATTCATAACGTATCGATTAATTGATTTCCGCACAGGCATGTTAAAACAATGGAAATAGCATGCTTGCACTTCTCCGAGAGGAAGAGAAGCACGATTGTGCTTGTGTACTTCTCGGGGCGCACCCGTTGCACTACTGTAATTATATACTTCTCAAGCGTTGCTGGGGACATAATTGTATTTCTATACTTCCAGAGGCTAATGGTAGCACTGTTGTAAGCACATCTCTGCAGGAAACCCAGCACAATTATATTTATGTACTTATGTACTTATGTCAGGGTAGGCCCAACAAGATTGTAATTATATACTTATTTCAGGGTAGCCCAGGCTAGATTGTAATTATGTACTTATTTCAGGGTAGCCCCAGCATGAATGTAATTATGTACTTATTTCAGGGTAGCCCCAACATGATTGTAATTATACACTTATTTCAGGGTAGCCCCAGCATGATTGTAATTATATACTTATTTCAGGGTAGCCCCAGCAAGATTGTAATTATGTACTTATTTCAGGGTAGGCCCAGCAAGATTGTAATTATGTACTTATTTCAGGGTAGGCCCAACAAGATTGTAATTATGTATATATCAGGTTAGCCCCAACATGATTGTAATAATATAATTATTTCAGGGTAGGCTCAGCTAGATTGTAATTATGTACATATTTCAGAGTAGCCCCAACAAGATTGTAATTCTGTACTTATTTCAGGGTAAGCTCAGCTAGATTGTAATTATGTACTTATTTCAGGGTAGGCCCCAACAGCTGATTTGTAATTCATGTACTAGATTGTATTATCATTTCAGGTAGGCCCCAACAAGATTGTAATTATGTACTTATTTCAGGGTAAGCCCAACAAGATTGTAATTATGTACTTATTTCAGGGTAGGCCCAACAAGATTGTAATTATGTACTTATTTCAGGGTAGCCCCAACAAGATTGTAATTATGTACTTATTTCAGGGTAGGCTCAGCTAGATTGTAATTATGTACTTATTTCAGGGTAGCCCCAACAAGATTGTAATTATGTACTTATTTCAGGGTAGGCCCAACAAGATTAGGCTACATTTCAAGATTGTAATTATGTACTTATTTCAGGGTCAACAAGATTGTAATTATGTACTTATTTCAGGGTAGCCCCAACAAGATTGTAATTATGTACTTATTTCAGGGTAGGCCCAACAAGATTGTAATTATGTACTTATTTCAGGGTAGCCCCAACAAGATTGTAATTATGTACTTATTTCAGGGTAGCCCCAACAGGGTATTATGCCCCAACAAGATTGTAATTATGTACTTATTTCAGGGTAGCCCCAACAGCCCCAACAAGATTAAAATTATGTACTTATTTCAGGGTAGCCCCAACAAAGATTGTAATTATGTATATATCAGGTAAGCCCCAAGATGATTGTAATTATGTACTTATTTCAGGGTAGGCCCAACAAGATTGTAATTATGCACTTATATCAGGGTAGGCCAAACAAGAATAAATTTATGTACTTATTTCAGGTTAGCCCCAACAACATGTACTTATTTGTAGGCCCCAACAAGATTGTATGTACTTATTTCAGGGTAGCCCCAACAAGATTGTAATTATGTACTTATTTCAGGGTAGGCCCAACAAGATTGTAATTATGTACTTATTTATTTCAGGTAATGTAATTATGCCCCAACAAGATTGTAATTATGTACTTATTTCAGGGTAGCCCCAACAAGATTGTAATTATGTACTTATTTTCAGGTCAGGGCCCAACAAGATTGTAATTATGTACTTATTTCAGGGAAGCCCCAACAAGATTGCTATTTCAGGGTAGGCCCAACACAAGATTGTAATTATGTACTTATTTCAGGGTAGCCCAACATGATTGTAATTATGATTGTGATTGTATTATGATTGTAATTATTATTTCAGGGGGTAGTAGGCCCCCAACATGATTGTAATTATGTACTTATTTCAGGGTAGGCCCAACAAGATTGTAATTATGTACTTATTTCAGGGTAGCCCCAACAAGATTGTAATTATGTACTTATTTCAGGGTAGCCCCAACAAGATTGTAATTATGTACTTATTTCAGGGTAGCCCCAACAAGATTGTAATTATGTACTTATTTCAGGGTAGGCCCAACAAGATTGTAATTATGTACTTATTTCAGGGTGGCCCCAACAAGATTGTAATTATGTACTTATTTCAGGGTAATTAGGCCAAGCCCCAACAAGATTGTAATTATGTACTTATTTCAGGGTAGCCCCCCAACAATGATTGTAATTATGTACTTATTTCAGGGTAGCCC